ATTAATATGTGATGTTTAGTTGCAGATCCGAAATGCAGTGTTTGATACTTGCCACTCAATCGGAGAAAACCACCCAGTCAAGACGAACCGAACAGAAGATCCGCAAGGAGAACTGACCAGAGTATACTTTACAGAATTCAGATCTTTATATTCGTACGGAAGGCGATATATTGATTTCCTTTCCAGATTCTCAAGCAGACAGATAGACAGATATTCTGCTTTATGTCTCTATGGAAACACGACAGGTACCCTTACGAGGGGAGAGTATCAACTCGGCGTTTATAAACCCTCTCTGCAAAGGAGGTAGACGCATGGTGGGTTAGGTATATACAGTGTTCTTCATTGCAGAGAAAATTGTTGTTTATCTGCCTGCCTCGTCTTCATTGAGATAGTTGTTGATAGTAATTGATGAATTACAATAATATATCGCGTTCCAGTTTCGATGTTGAAAACAATATCGAGACTCTTCATAGATTTATATTGTATGTTGGTCTCACGATTCAAATTTGAAATTTATCCTTAGTTTTAGATCCGAACAGCACATTGTTTGGCATGCAAGGTCCTTAATATAACCCACGTCATTGAAAATGTGGAAGATGCCTACTGGAAAAACCACTATTCGGAAAGAAAGCGAATATGTAGCAATCCTGTTACGGACGATGAAAATATCATTCAGGTATGTCTCAGATTCAACATCCATGTACTTCATCTGATAATATAAATTTTCTGATTTGAATGTACTTTGATTAATATGTGATGTTTAGTTGCAGATCCGAAAAGCAGTGTTTTACACTTGCCACTCAATCGGAGAAAACCACCCAATCAAGACGAACCGAACAGAAGATCCGCAAGGAGAACTGACCAGAGTATACTTTACAGAATTCAGATCTTTATATTCGTACGGAAGGCGATATATTGATTTCCTTTCCAGAATCTCAAACAGACAGATAGACAGATATTCTGCTTTATGTCTCTATGGAAACACGACAGGTACCCTTACGAGGGGAGAGTATCAACTCGGCGTTTATAAACCCTCTCTGCAAAGGAGGTAGACGCATGGTGGGTTAGGTATATACAGTGTTCTTCATTGCAGAGAAAATTGTTGTTTATCTGCCTGCCTCGTCTTCATTGAGATAGTTGTTGATAGTAATCGATGAATTACAATAATATATCGCGTTCCAGTTACGAATGTTGAAAACAAAATCCAGACTTTTCATAGATTTATATTCTATGTTGGTCTCACGATTCAAATTTGAAATTTATCCTTAGTTTTAGATCCGAACAGCACATTGTTTGGCATGCAAGGTCCTTTATATAACCCACGTCATTGAAAATGTGGAAGATGCCTATTGGAAAAACCACTATTCGGAAAGAAAGCGGACATGTAGCAATCCAGTTACGGACGATGAAAATATCATTCAGGTATGTCTCAGATTCAACATCCATGTACTTCATCTGATGATATGAATTTTCTGATTTAAATGTTTTTTGATTAATATGTGATGTTTAGTTCCAGATCCGAAAAGCAGTGTTTTATACTTGCCACTCAATCGGAGAAAACCACCCAGTCAAGACGAACCGAACAGAAGATCCGCAAGGAGAACTGACCAGAGTATACTTTACAGAATTCAGATCTTTATATTCGTACGGAAGACGATATATTGATTTCCTTTCCAGATTCTCAAGCAGACAGATAGACAGATATTCTGCTTTATGTCTCTATGGAAACACGACAGGTACCCTTACGAGGGGAGAGTATCAACTCGGCGTTTATAAACCCTCTGTGCAAAGGAGGTAGACGCATGGTGGGTTAGGTATATACAGTGTTCTTCATTGCAGAGAAAATTGTTGCTTATCTGCCTGCCTCGTCTTCATTGAGATAGTTGTTGATAGTAATTGATGAATTACAATAATATATCGCGTTCCAGTTACGAATGTTGAAAACAAAATCCAGACTTTTCATAGATTTATATTCTATGTTGGTCTCACGATTCAAATTTGAAATTTCCTTAGTTTTAGATACGAACAGCACATTGTTTGGCATGCAAGGTCCTTAATATAACCCACGTAATTGAAAATGTGGAAGATGCCTACTGGAAAAACCACTATTCGGAAAGAAAGCGGACATGTATCAATCCAGTTACGGACGATGAAAATATCATTCAGGTATGTCTCAGATTCAACATCCATGTACTTCATCTGATGATATTAATTTTCTGATTTGAATGTACTTTGATTAATATGTGATGTTTAGTTGCAGATCCGAAAAGCAGTGTTTGATACTTGCCACTCAATCGGAGAAAACCACCCAGTCAAGACGAACCGAACAGAATATCCGCAAAGAGACCTGACCAGAGTATACTTTACAGAATTCAGATCAGAATTACAAAAATATATCGCGTTCCAGTTAGGAATGTTGAAAACAATATCCAGACTTTTCATAGATTCATATTCTATGTAGGTCTCACGATTCAAATTTGAAATTGATACTTAGTTTTTGATCCTAGCAGCACATTGTTTGGCCTTCAAGGTCCTTAATATAACCCACGTAATTGAACATGTGGAAGATGCCTACTGGAGAAACCACTATACGGATAGAAAGCGGATATGTAGCAATCCAGTTACGAACGTTGAAATTATTCTTCAGGTATGTCTCAGATTCAACATCCATGTATTTCCTCTGATGATATTTTCTGATTCAAATGTACTTCGATCAAAATGTGATGTTTAGTTGCAGATCCGAGAAGCAGTATTTGATACTTGCCACTCAATCGGAGAAAACCATCCAGTAAATACGAACCAGTTATGACCATTGTATATATAGTGCTAATATGTTTTGTATTCAATACTAGCAGATATTTTCCAAACATGAAGATTTTTTCGGTCATAAATCGAGAGAAGGTGATGATGACGTTAAAAGTCGCTTAGAACAGTCAGATGAGCGATATTCTAAAATCCACCTTGATTTCAAATAAGAATTGAATTCAGAGAGAATAGATGATGTCAATTATTTTTATAATCTAGTAGTAGAACTCGATTTATTAGTTAGAAAACATGATGAATTATGATGTGTTTCTAAGTTAGTAGTGCAGAAAAAAAAATGATAAAAGAAACAAGTTGATCCTGTCAGGAAATTAGAGCATTTGATAGTCTAGAAATAGTTAATTAGATCATTGTAAGTGAAGATGACAAAAATGTTTATATAGGTATGTTTTCATTACATAGGTATATACATACTTATTTTTCTTAGTTTAAAACTAGTTGCCGAAATATTCCTATAGTTAAAATTGAAGAAAGTGTATTGTTAAATAGAAACAGTTCAGCTGAGGTACATATAAACCCAAAATATTTCATATACACGTTGCTATTTTCATTCCAGTGTAGTCTGTAATGGGTTGCGTGGAAGAACTGTCAGATGACCGACCCTGGGGGTGAAACATTGAAACACAACCTCACTTTTCTTATTTGTTTACAAGTGATTGAAATAGTTTCTCACAATTATTTTGGCATACGAATCGTGTTTTTCGGCTATTCATTAATTCTCCCATGCCATCACATTGTGCTGTCGTACAATGCAAAAAAAATGCAGCGGGAGACGAAGGAATCCGGTTGATACATTATGATGTAAATGTAAATACCCACTATTATAGTCACTCACATATAGTTTTCATTTTGAAATTTGATTTCTCATCGGAATTCCTTCTGCAATGGAAGCTAATAAAGATACTTGTGAAATTTCTAAAATAATGCAAGAAGATTGGATTCATGCAATCAAACGGGTGGAATGGTCTGACATGCTGACGAAATATGATCGAGAGTGTTGTAAAAATTTTTCAATCTATTAGCAGTATTAGCTTCTATTGCAGAAGTGGCAGAAGGAATTTTAATAAGAAATGACAACATTTCATAATGAAAACTATGTGAGATTACTATTTACCTGGAAAGTCATATTCCTTCGTCTCTCGCTGCATTTTTTGTGCATTGTACAACAGCACAATGAGGAGGCATGCTTGAATTAGAAATAGCGCAAAAAACACGATTCGTTTGCCAAAATATTGTGAAAAACTATTTCAATCCTTTGATTCCTCTGTAGAGGAATAAAAAAAGTGAGGTTGTGTTTCAATGTTCTAAAGAAAAGTGAAGTTGTGTTTCAATATTTTACCTCCAGGATCGGTCATCGTGCACGCGACCTAAGAGACACCTACTGATGAAAAATAGTATACAGATTTAATTAAAATTCAATAATAGCACCAGCGTATTTTTTCAATCAGTAAGAAATTCAATCACAATAGGTACTTTTCCGTGGACCTCGTATTAACGAGTAAGTTTAATGTTTATGAAATCGTTCATTAATGACCCCTATTAATGATCAATTTGTCTATTAATGCACGATTGTTTTATAGGCAACCAAACATACACCGCGTGCATTCATTGTTTATGCTATAACTTACGAAATCTGCATTTAAATCGAAAATATGGATTTCATCGATGATTTTCCGTTAACGGGTTCACTTTTCCAAGTTTCTGAAACGATTTAAATCCCTGTGTTCTAACACAAGGAATTTATTTTCTGTGTGACAAATGTCAAATGTCACTAATGTCAGTAACATGGCTACTGGGTGATTCTTAGTAGTTTCCGGATGAATGATGTATTCGCGAACCAAGTTTTCTTCATTGCAGGAGAAAAGAGAAATATAGTCGACGGAAAAATTTTGTAACCAACTCGTATTGTAAAAGGCGATTGATGATCTCGAACATTAACGCGCTCGCTCCGCTCGCACGTTAAAATATCTCGGTCATTAATCGCCCTCATTAATACACTTGTTGGTTGGATAACTATTTATGTTGGTAATCTCATATTAATGGTTCTAATGTCTGATTTTTCGAAATATGTTGAAACATATTCATTTCATTGGTTTTGCCTGATTTTTTGAAATTATTTTGAGTGCTTATATGAACCTCAACGGCTAGCTATTCGGATAATTCCACACAAATCATACCGGGTGCTGCAGAGTATATCCTTCGACGATTTGTTCCTTCCTGTAACGGTTGATCACTGCATCCAAACATTCGAATATCCTACCTCCCATGAGGTATCGAACACCTTTCTTCTCTATTCGGAAACGCTGAATTTGATTGTTGATGTGGAAGAAGAGAGAATAGTCTCCAGGGGAGTTGTCACTGGGGCGGACAAGAAAACTGCCAGGGCCAGCTAGAAAAAGACTAATTTTGTTCAAAAGTCACCTTGTCAAATCAAATCAAATATACTTTATTGTCTGAAGAATGTAATTCTCATTGACAGTCATTTACAAATGAAGAAGAGCAAACGATCATTATTAGATACCTATCGATATGATAAATAACAGATATAAAACTGGATAGTATGTATAAATAGTACACGATAGGCAAAAAGTGATTAAATAAAGTTTGGTCACAGAATACTCCATTTTTTTTCTACGGCTGTAACACAAGATTGCTCTTGTTATACGACGCTATACATAGTGGAGTATACTACGGCCTTGCCAAAAATGCTATCTCGGAAACTAAGCGAGATACAGGTATAGTTACTTTGGAGAAAATGATCCCCATCGAATTTTGAGCAACTTTGGTTTTTGTGTGTGGTCTGTCTGTCTGTCTGTCTGTACTCTGTGTTAATCATAAATCGATATATCTCCGGAACCCTTTGACATACCGACTTGAAATTTTGCATTGTACTCAAAACAATATTATGCCATTAAAATATGAAGGAAATCGGTAAACTCCAAGGTGGTTTTTCCGGGTTTTTTCGATTTTTCACCGGAAGTTTTTTGTAACCACTCTACAAATCGCAAAAGTGGTCCGATCGATTTCATTTTTTGTGAAAAAAAACTCTATCAGGGAGAGACGAAGCCTATTGAAATTGAGCAGGGTCGGAAAATTCCAAGTGGGTTTTTCAAGGAGATTTTCCGAAACACACGGTTCGCTCCAAAACGACATATCTCCTGAATCAATAGACTAAATCCAAATTTGAAAAATGCACCGTATGCCTCTTTGATGACGCAACAAATTATTATTTAACCATTTTTTCGTGCATCCATCGGAAAATGGAAAAACATATGAAAATCAAAACATCAAAATTTGAAATCCTTTCAATTCAATATATATCGAAAACAAATGAAAAAATAGAAAATTATCAAAAGTGCGTTATCCACTGGAACATTTCCTACAAATTATTTCCCATATTTTTTTCTGTAAATCCAATAGTACAAGAAATAAAGTGAAAAATATGAAAAAAAACATTTTAACGACCCATAGGGTAGATATATAGATGAAGATATATTGAAAAACAAAGATTATCGATAGATGAAGCTCATCGACTTCCACTGAACCATGAAATATTTTTTCATTTTGTTGATTGGAAGATGGAACAAAAGTGTTGAAAATTTTATTCTCATATCTCGAAAACAACTGAATATATATCTGAAAATGTTATAGAAATAAAATTATTTCTTTTGATAGAATGTACAAAAAATCCGAATCACATTTTTCTCTGAATTCAATAGTTCGGGAGATACGATGAAAATACTAAAAATATTTACAAGTTCCTAGATAATCACTTGCCAATAGAAAACAAAACAAAAAACAAAAGAATGTGAAAAAAGCACACTCGACTGTCTCGATTTTTTTCCTCATAAACTACGTACCTAGCTCACTCGACTGTCTGGAAAAACCAAGACAGTCGAGTGGGCTAAGTACGTAGTTTGTGGGAAAAATCTCCAGTTCTCTGAACTTTCATAGCGTCGTATACACATCTTTGGTGCCCAATGGTAGTTTCAATATAAAAATATTATGCTCATGATATGATGCCATGGCCTCTTCTTCCATCTTACATGAGCAATGATAAAATATCATCTGCTTTTATAGCGTCGTATAAATTATCTGACCTCTATACTAATCTAATACTTAATGAAATTTACATCTATACTAATCTGATACCTTTCAAAAACTACGTACCTCACTTGTTTTACTATGTTCGTTACATCAATGAGGTACTTTGTATGTCATCAATTTTATTTCCGTATCTGATATCACAATGACTCCATTGTGTCATTATTAAAAAAAAAAAACTCTTCGCCCATGGAATGTCAACTTTCAAGCAATGACAGCTCTGTCTAATAGATGAGCATTACTTGACAGGAAATCAGATAGCTACAAGACAAACAATTCGCGAAAATCACGAACCAATAGATGGCTCTATTAAACGTCAAATCAACGTCAAATTTCCAACTGAGTATGAACAACAAAAACATTGCCGTATGCACTCATTGCAAATTGGTTATTTCCAAATCATTTTGCTAAATAGTGAATAATAAGTTGACTTCTTGAAATACGTACAAGGTTTCCAGTATGGAAAAAATTACTTTTTGTGCAGAGAAATTGCCATTTTGATGTGGACAATGGTGGTATTCGTCATTGATATCACACTACAATCCCACAGTTTTCAAACATAAGGAATGATCGGAATGGTCCACTCAACACTTGCATGAACTGGAATGGAACCATACAAGCAATCAGCTATTACAACAATATGGTATGGGTATGAAAAATAATTGAATTCATCAAGAAATATCACTGGCTCTTATGAAGGAGATGGAATTCTAGTGAAGGGGTTGGAAAAGAAGAAATGGTTGGAGAGGCTGCTCAGAATGAACAATATCATCGATTTACATAAACAAGGATCTCCAGCAATTGAGGACTTCAAGTTTTTCTCAAGATCGAATCATTGCAACCAAAATTTATACAATGATTCTAATTCAAATGTATATTATTATAAGGTAGGTACTGGTTACTTCATTGCAAACAATAAAAGTTCATGCAATAATTCGCATCAGGGAGAAATGAGGTTCTGGAATATGCACTTCAACAAATGAATTATTTTCGAATAAAACAAATATTTATGAAATTCAAAACAATGGTTGCCATATTTGTTGTTCACACTCGCGAGACTTGTACAGTTAGCCACCAGAGGTCGCACACTTCGTGATTTTCGCGAATTCGAAAATGCCGCTGTTATCTATTATAGCCGTAGAAAAATTATAGTGTATAACTTGCATGGAATGCTAATTTCCTACTGGAATGATTGCAGCATTCGCAAATGGCTCATGCTGCAAACTTCATTCTCGTAGGAAATCACAATCATTCCGTGCTCGTTAAACAACGACAACAAACATGAATAAATATAAAATACAAGTACAAAAAGATTTATTGAAATTATCACAATAACATTGCTTTGTACACATTTATAAAACTGATTATAACTACTAAAACGCATTAATAGCAAATTGTAAAAATGGAAAGGAAAATAAAACATGGAAGGAAAAATAAAACTACATCAGTATAAACAATGCATTCAATAAAGATAATGTTACCTTTGACTAGTAAATCAACAGCCTCATTTTTCGTACAGTTAGGATGAAACCAAGGAAACACCGTATTCGGATCGATGCTGTCATCCAAATCTTCGACTAGTTCTCTGAATATCATTCCTTGTTCCCCAGTTCGATGTGCTGTTACCCATAACCAACCATTTCCCATGTCGTTGTGCACGAAAAAAATATCACCTTTTTTGAAAGTCAGTTCATCAGTGTCAGGCATCTTGGTGTATGGCAATATGGCAACAACTCTCTGAAAAATTACTCATTCTACAAGGTCACTCACGGTCGATGATAGTTTAGACTAGGGTCTCTCGATGCAAACTGACGTATTTGTCATGTAACAGGGTACGGACAGATCATAGCTCCTTTCTCTTTTAATCATCTAGTGACTTTGGTTTCGTGTATTGGTGTCCCTGACATGACATTGCTGTCACGTCACATTCATAGGCGTTAAAAGATATCTTACAAAATTTTAATTTCATACTTGATCTTAATTCGACATTATTCAATTCTGTTTTGGAAGGATGATAAAATGTGCTGCGTTAGGCTGTATCAATCAGTTGGATGGCAAATTTGAATTTGTCATCTTTCCATCAAATACATCAGCAAAATATTCGAGGTGAAACTAATACGAAATCACATATTATGCTTTCTCATTGTGCCAATAATTATCCACTTCACAAGTTCTTGGATGCATTTTAGTAGAAACATATATATATGATGAAATGGATCGCGGTAAATATGTGGTATCAATACTATTCGATCTATCGAAGGCATATGACACCGTCGAAAAATCTTTTGTTTCTGAAAAATTGTATCAGCTTGGCATTCGTGGTTGTATTAATGACTGGTTTCTCTCATTCCTGGAAAATCGAAAAATTATTGTGAAAATTGATGATGTCTTCTCAAATGAGTTTAATATGGAGCTAGGAACTCCTCAAGGCAGTGTTCTTGGCCCGTTGACATTTTTATTATTTATTGATGACCTTCCTAGTTATCTGACGGGCGCTAAAATTCTCATGTATGCAGATGATACATGCACAATTATATCAGACAGTAATGAAACTGCACTCTCTGAAAAAATTGCCAACACACTGAATCAATTTCAAGATTGGTGCTACCGAAATAGATTGATGATGAATATAAAAAAAATGGCGTGCATTGAATATTACTCTACGCTCAACTCACCATCAAACTGCTCTATCTCTTTAAACAATACTGTCATTGCAAAATCAAAAACGGTTGAGTTTCTGGGAACCTTATTCGACAGTAACATTTCATGGGGAGAGCAAATCAATGCTGTATGCAAAAAAATCAACCAATGCTTTTACCTATTGACAGTCCTAAAATCCATGTTAGATAGAGATACTCTGTTGAATGTGTATTACTCATATGCATACTCTGCAATTGCGTACCGTATCATTGTCTGGGGACAAGGACGTGAAGTTCAAGGAGTGTTCGTATTGCAAAAAAGGATAGTTCGTTTTATATTTGATTCACCTTTTCAAACTTCGTGTCGCAACATATTTAGAGACAATATTAATTTATTGATAGGTATATACTGCCTAAGAACAGTCCCATTTGGTAAAACGTATTAAACTTTCAGAAAAATTTGCTAACTGCCACACAAAGATTATGCTGAAGTTGAAAAATCAAAAACTTGAAAATTATCGTCATCATTTGGATATAATATGTAGAGTTGAATGAGAAATTACATGTGGAAATTACGTATGATACGCCAATGTCCTCAATATAACCTAAAAAACAACAAATGTCACAAATCTAGTGTTTATCCCCAGAAATGAATAAAGATGGAACTATATAACTGTTTCACAAACACTCTAGAGTGAGAGGAGACGATGAGGATCTGTCCGTACCCTGTTGAGATGACAAATACGTCATTTTACATCAAGGGACCCTAGGTTAGACGTTTATGGAAAACACAACGCAGGATTTTTCTGAAAACTTCGAATCCTACATTTTATCTCCTGTTCTATCGATCTGAAATATTTTCCAAATTGCGATGTTGCCGTTTCTATCAAAAAGTCCTAACAACTTCATTTGTTAAATCAAACGCCCCGTGTATTAATAAATTTTAAGAATTGCCTTCTGTTACTTTTGTTTCTCCTAATTCAGTTGTAGTCGACGGAAAAATTTTGTAACCAACTCGTATATTAAATGGCGATTAATGATCTCGAACATTAACGCGCTCGCTCCGCTTGCACGTTAAAATATCTCGATCATTAATCGCCCTCATTAATACACTAGTTGGTTAAATAACTATTAGTTATTATATTAGTAATTTGAGGTTTTTAACTATAAATACACCTGCATTGCAAGCATCTTTCAGGCAACGACCATACCACATTGAGTTAAAACCCAGCCTCGTCCGATCCTGGAAGTCAAGCAATGTCGGGCGCGGTCAGTACTTGGATGGGTGACCGCTTGGGAACACCGCGTGTCGTTGTCAAATTTTTTGGTCTTTTTAGATTCAGTAGCATACTGAAAAATTGATGCTATGGTACCCTAGAGGTCTCATTCACCCTGGATGAGTGAAAAAAAAAAACAACTTTTTTCCCATACCAATAAATACTCTCAGAGGAATACGGAGGAATACAGTTGTTTTGTTGTTTACATTCAGTTCATTGGGAATACATTGATGGAACAAATTTTTTTTTAGAACTTTCAATTAGGGAGTCAAGAGGGGAGCCCTGTGCAGGGGCGGACCGTGAGTCTGAGGGGCCCTGGTCTCATACTACTTGGGGCCCTGCCTAAAACTAATTAAAGACCTGTTTTCAATAAAGATGTGCTAGATACAAAGTATAGGAAAGAAGAGAGGACAATGACACATTTTACTTATTTAATATGACATAAACACACAAACAAACTGAAAGATATTATTGCATAAATCAACAGGTTGAGTGTGTAAATACAATAGAATCAAAATGAAAATAAAGTTATCTTCTAAAATATGTAATTAATTAATTCTCTGACAATGACAATCTAACCCTTCAAACATTAAAACATTCTATATGGGTTGCGTGCAAGAACTGTCAGATGACCGACTCTGGAGGCAAAACATTGAAACACAATGTCACTTTTCTTATTTGTTTACAAGTGATCGAAATGATTTTGGCATATGGATCGTATTTTTCCGCTATTCATCAATTCGCACATGCCATCACATTGTGCTGATGTAAAATGCACAAAAACTGTAGCGGAAGACGAAGGAATCCGGATGGTACATTATGATTTAAAAGTAAGTACCTACTATAGTCACTCACCTATAGTTTTCATTTTTGAAATTTGGTAATTTCTCTGATTTCTCATCGGAATTCCTTCTGCGATAGGAGCTAATAGAAATACACCTGAAATTTCTAAAATAATGCAAGAAGATTGGATTCATGCAATCAATCGGGAGGACTAGTCTGACATGCGGACGATCGTGTGTGTAGTAGACATTTTCAATCTATTAGCAGTATTAGCTTGTAATCTTGTATTGCAGGAGTGGCAGAAGGCAGAAGGAATTTCAATAAGGAATGACAACATTTCATAATAATAACTATGTGAGATTACTATTTCAATCCTTTGATTCCTCTGTAACCAAATAAAAAAGTGAGGTTGTGTTTCAATATTTTGCCTCCAGGGTCGGTCATCGTGCACGCGACCTATACAAGGTGTAAGATCACACCACATTACTTCTTCCCCTTTACCGGATATTGTATTCACAATTTGAATAAAGGTAACTTCTGAAAGATGTAATTAATTAATTCTCTGACAATGACAATCTAACCATTCAAACATTAAAGCATTCTATATACAAAGTGTAAGATCACACTACATTACTCCCCCTTTTCCTGATATTTTATTAACAATTTGAATAAAGTTAACTTCTGAAAGATGTAATCAGTTAATTCTCTGACAATGACAATCTTATCCTTCAAACATTAAAACATTATATATAACAAGGTGTTAAATCACTAAGATCAGAATGTTATGTAGTGGTAGAAGTTCATTAAAAACAGGAAAGCATCTCAAGCATCCATAAAACATCAAACAACACACATATACATGTATTATGTTCTGTTATATCAATTATTTGCATAAGATAAGAATTTTTCAAATGTTTTTTTCAAATCACATTTTTGTCCATTGTTTTCAATGGGGACTGGGGGCCTTTGTATTCACATGGCCATGGGTTGCAGCTCAAAAAGCCCTTAAAGCCACCCCTGGGCCCCTGTGAGATGAATTATTGGCCAAGAAAACATTGTGACATTGATACATTGTACAATTTAATAAAGGAGATTTCAGCCCCAACCAAATATTGTAACATATACATGAGCATATACATAATATACAGGTTGAAAAGTATCCTCAGAGGAATATATTCAAAGAAAAAACTAAGGATTTATACTTGGATTTATATCATTTGTTGGCTGAATTTATTACTCACTTACTCAGATAGGTGTATTGGAGCAAATTTCTCAGTAACTTCTATGAATAAAGACATCAGGTATGTCTATAATTTATTTCACTCCCTTATTATGATTATGTTGAGCAAAACATTGTGAATTAGGATAGAATTGAAAGGAAGCTGAAATCTTATAGGCAACACAAATTGAAATTAAAATGAATTCAAATGTAAGATTGAGAATATGGAGTTAGAAAGTTGATTTGTTCTCAAGATCTCAGTATTCCAGCTTCCTAATGGCGTGAAAAGATAAATTTATCTCACCATCCATAACCAATTGATGAGGGACATAGGAATAAAAACACATACCTTTTTATCATTGACTGGCTCAGGAGGTGCTACAGGGTGAATCAACCTTTCTCTCTTGAGTAAATCACTGCATTCTTTGTAATAACCAACTAGATCATTCAATGATACAAACTGCCTTCCCCCAATGTAAAAGTCTCCACATACTGCAGTTATCCTGAAGTGATTTATCCCAGTTCTACCCAAATATGAAAGGACATAACTACCCGGTTTCCTGTCGCTCTCCCTCACTAAATAAGCCCCCAGTATGTTGCACTGCCACAATCTCTCTTCAGCCTGATATCGGTCAAGCCTCCCATGGTACCACTGTGTCTCAGGAGGGGCATAATGAGCACTATCGCCCAGGTCGGGTTCATCTGGTTCTGGTTTGATCGCCCCTTGGGTTTCGTGGTCGTTTCCGTCGTCGCTTCCTGTACTGGGAGATCCCAATTTGTCTTTCATTATAGCAGCATTATGTCCACTTCCTGTACGAATTAAATCTGCCATATCGATGTGAAGCACCTATTCAACTCATAACCGGATCAATGGTGGAGATAGATGAGTTCTGGATTTCTTTATTCCAGAATGTTTGTTCACTAACCTAGGGCATTGTTTGCAAAAGTAATAATATTTTTGTGTATCGGACTTTGAACTTTTATTGACGTTTCTTGGTTTTCGCTTTCGCAGGAGCCACAGAACACAATTTAAAGAGTTCATTGACACAGAACAAGATACTAACAGCTGCAATAAATGACTTGGGACAACTGACAAATTGACATAAAATAGATTGAATTCTCCAATGACATGTGTTCTGTGAATCCATGTTCTATAGTTTTCATGTTCTACGGTTGAAATACCCCCGCGCCCGGGAGAACAAATTTACAAATTATCAAAAAGAAAGTGTGGGGTGGGATTACGGGATCTATGGTGGGATATAATTATTTTTGTAGAATGCGATATGAGAAATTTCAACTGATGTCTTATAAAAAAAGCGGAGAGAAGTATAAATGTAGTAGACAATGAAATTAATGTACTTATGTGCTGCATGTCTTCAGGTTGATTTCAGGGATTTCAGGGATTTCAGGTGGATATCAGGTAACTATAACTACCTACTACGGTAAAACTGCATTTAGCATGCGATGGGTTTTTTTCCGAAAATTTTTTTTGGTACTTACGTATTTTTGTCTGAAAAACACGAATTTGATAATGAAAATGTGAACAAACCATTATTTATCAAGATATTTCACTATAAAGTTTCAAATTTCACCTTCTTTTCCGCCTGTCTTCTGGATTGAATTTTAAACAATTCACCCTTCTTTTTTCATCATTGGACAATTTATATATATCACAATGTAAGACACATTTTTTTCTATCATTGAGTCAACTAGAAATATGATTTTCTTGTGATTTATCCATATTTATTGAAAAGAAGGAAGAATATCATTTGAAATAATGGCGTGTGTAATGTCATTCCAAAGCAATCTATTGACATTTGACATCTCGTATTTGGATTGCCTATGGATAAAATGGCCGTCATCTGGTATGCTCTTGCTCACTAAATAGGAAAAACTCACCATAAAAATCATATTTCCTGTTGAATTTTCTGTATAAAAATGTGTCATTGAAGTACATCATGAGTATATAAAGTGTCCAATGACAAAATAAGAAGAGCAAGTACCTGAAAATGCATCCAATGCAAGGGGAAGAAGGAGTGGAAATTTCGAACTTTTTTTTGAAATATCTCGATAAATAGTGGTTTGTTCACATTTTCATTATCAAATTCGTGTTTTTCAGACAAAAATACGTAAGTACCAAAAAAAATTTTCGAAAAAAAACCCATCGCATGCTAAATGCAGTTTTACCCCTACTACAGCTTTATTTTCTGTCACAAAATGCTTGAATATGAATGATCATGTGAGAGATAAAATTTTATGTAATCGGGTTTCTTTATTTGTATAAAAAAATCAATAAATATGGGATGCAATGATGAAAATAAGAGTAGTATCACGAAAAAAAGAACTAATTTCGATTTTTTTCCAATTGGCAAATCAAAGTCTGTCAGAAACGTGAGTATATACGTAAAATTTGAATTGGGAACAATTACGTGGTATAAAATCCGTCAAATTTTCAGGCTTCGATCGCAACAATCGGCCTCTTAGGAGGATTCGTGTTTTACCAAAAAGTTCTACATGACGTTTTATTCGAAAAGGATACAGATTGCGACTGTGGATGTGATGGAAAACGAAGATTGGAATAAGGCGTAACTACATAGATCCAAACACAATCTAACTATAACGCCTTTGAAGTATCGTATTGTCTTTATTATATTTTGTTGTTCAGTAGAGTGCCTTTTGTGGAGTCTATCAATAAATTTGCTTTGAAGCACTGTAGAATATTATTTCAAAATAAATTAGTTAGCACATTCAAGTACTTGGGGATGGAGATTAATATGAAACCCTAGAAAATCTTTATAAAGCGTCATTCATCATAGCTGCTGGTTCAAGAATATTATTCAGGGTGTTAGCAAAACCTATGATAATTTGTATGCATATGACCAGGGTAAAGTGTGGCACTTTTTTACCGGTCATTTCTACATAGTAGACTACCATTCTATCTTTCCTCGCCAGTGGGATACATAATTTGGCAGATTGAATTTAAAATCATGAATAAATTCCATATTGACAGTAAAAAAATGTCTAAAACGGTCGTGCATAAAATGTTGTATTTCAGTCGTATTTATATATGGTCATGAAATTGATCGTTGAATGATCATTATATCAAAACACCCTGTATTTTCCCGAATCGGTTTCAGATAAAATAATGAAATCCCGTATGTTTTCCTTGCTTTCTGAGCTGAATTGAAAAATGTAAGCGAACTTTTGAAAATGTATTCAGGAATTTGTTCAACGACGCCACTGGTGCCCTACCAAAATTCCGTTCCTCCTCATCTAATTCATCCTCTTTATAAGTTAAGTATAGCTGAAGTAACTCATGGAACCCTAGGTCACAGTATAGAGAGCTCTATACTGTGCCTAGGTCGAGACATTTTCCTAGAGGACTGAAACTTCAACAGTCCACAAAACTTTTAGGTTAGAGGAAAAGAGAATGTTGTCAGCATTGTCCAAGGAGAGTTTATAATCCTTGAGCATTGTTTGCTGAATATGGAGAAAAAATCCAAGATACAGGGTGATCAGAATTCTGAATCTTGAACCACCCTGTATCTGTTTCAAATAAATGTCAGTAGATAGTAAATCACAAGTTGAGATAGGGACATAAAGGCCGTTTTGACCAATAATGAATAGTTTCGTCTAAAAAAAATCCTAAAGTTGAACAATCTCGATTTTGAACACCCTATATCTCTGTATAATCATTGCCGCTAGACCCCAAGTGTGATGCATTAATCAAATCAGCTCTCCATTTAAAAAAATCGAATAGTACCCTGTATATCGTTTGTTCCGAGCACCCTGTATTTTCTGATGTAGCGGAAAAAAACTTATCGAAAATCATGTAAGATGATATTTCAAATTTTGAATTCGGTTAAAAAATAACTGAGCTAGAGGGGGGAACATTTATGGTGAATCACCCTGTACCCTGCATATACAGGGTGTTTCATAACTGGATGTCAATATTCTAGGAGGCGATTCTTGAGCCCATTCTAAGAAGAAAGTTTCATATGAACGTATGACCTAAACGTCCTAACTTTTGGGATACAGGGTGGTGTAAAGTTCTCAAGAATTAATAGTTTTTTATTAATATCTGTAATACCACTACAAATATTCAAATGAAATTTGGCATACATGTACTATGTATCAAGAGGCATCAGTTAGTGTATCACATTTTTTTGTTGTTGCCACCAGTGGCGTTCGTATGGAATTTCACAAAACTATTTTTACAAGAAAGGAACAAGCTAAACTTGATTGATAACTATCGTAAAAAATGCATGAAGAAAATACAATAAACCTATGATTCGGCGAAATGAAAGACCACCTATTTATAGTAATAATAATTTATGGCAGTTTTATACATTTGGTATAAAAGTTATTAAAACATTTACAGTATATTAATATAAATATAAACAAACTATAGAAAACAATTCTCAATAGGCATTTAATGTAAATATCATTATATTTACACAAATAATGGCTGTATATGACCAGAAAATACTCATAAACACAGACAAAAAATTTTAAAAAATACTACACATCATCAACTGTAAGTTACCTATTAGAGTATTACACGAAAAATGTGCAAATTTTTCATAAATAAATAACAATATAAACACTATTTTACAAAAATCAAGCATTACTCTAGTTATAGTCACGATACATAATGCTATGTAGTACATTTTCACAGCTACTTCTGCTTGAAATAATTATCAATGCAATATTGATTAATAATTTAAAACTATCATATTGTTTTTGATAAATACCACTCTAATGTTTATTGTAAAGGCATCATATTATGTACCTGTTGTAATTGATTTATTGACTCTCCTCAATAAGAAGAAACTGCAGCTCTAAAAATTGCCAGGTCTCGAAAAGACCTTTAAAACAGATTAGTTCTTGAAATAATTCATCACATCTCAAAATCCAAACCTGAATTTCGAGAAAATGGGACTCGTTCTTAAGACACTTTCTGGTAAAACCTGACTAAATAAATGGACATCCAAAATTATGATGTTTCAAAAATGTGGAGAATGGTACGGTTGTTTTTGTGTTTCTTCAATACTTCAAACATCGATAAAGAAGACCAGCTAGCTTTGAGAGATAAAAAAATGTCTTCCTTCACCCCAGGATGAACAGAAAATGGTGTAGAAACTTCTATCAAATCCCATCTATCGTTTTTCGTCAAAGTTTTTGACCTACGGCCTACTTGACAGAAGGTTTCTTTTCAATATTGCGGAATATATGTCGCATTTTACCCGTTAGATGGCGACATCTCAACAAAAATTCAATGTTGGCAGAACTGATGATGATTAAAATTCCCCGAAATTACAGTTCCGTACTCAATCTCATTTGATTTGAGGTTATGTTATTAATGTTATGATATTATTTTGTCCGGTGCAAGTGGTGTGTAAGCGACGTTTTCTGTCATGAAAGAAATCTGTAAAAAGTGTCGCCATCTTGCGGACAACTTAGAACTAATATGCCATTATTGCGGAATCTGCGGTCAAGCGTTCTTGGAGAAACAAAACACTGTCTGTGATTACACCATCTTCTGTTCACTTTGCTCCACCCCCACTGTTTCTGTTTTCCAGGGTCCCAACGAATAATGAAAGGTTTATGTTGGCAACACTAAAATTGAGAAGGAATGAAGAAAAATACTATTTTAGTCAATATAAAAATGTTCCAATAGTTTTTTCTCCGCTTCTTCTCTGTTCTCTCAATGCTTAGCTAAACTTCTGTATCAAGTGAATTTTATGAGGATACGAGTTTTTGGAATGAGTGTGATTTCATCAAGTTAGTCTTCTTGGAAAATCAACTAAGAAAAATGTTATGGATGCAAAATTGATCTCGATTATTCAGGGATACCAGATCAAATCAAAATTGGATATTAATTCACAGAATCTGTTTTGATTTTTGTGTTTATCACACACAAGACTCACGATAAAATGGAAATGTGATGAATAGAGTAATAAAAATTCAGTGTTACATATGAGCTAGAAAGACGAAAATGCATAAAAGATGTACTGGCGCTTAGGGGTTTTGTATTCCTTCTTGGATCTGGAAGTTTTTCAAAATGATGTTAGAATATATAGGAATGCAACAATAATTCTTGAACTAAGTTCGTTCCTAAGTATATTCCAGATTAGAATAAAGTAGGTGGCATTGATAGCAAACAGGATTTGGCTGAACAATTTATCTAATGTCATTTTATTGTGAATCTGAGTATGTACTAAGTAGTGATATTATTTTGTTCTGAACCAACTGGAAGATAAACATATCATGGGGTATTACACACTCCTTATAACTTTTTTCAGCAATCATACATTTCTGTCTTCTGAATGGATAGTAGGTAATGGGCGTGTACACCTTAGTAGAACTTTTTACTCAAACCATGTTTATAATGATCCTTTTATACATAAATAATGATTGACGACATAATTCGAAAACGGACCCTCTTATGACGTAGAAACCTCATCTCGCCATAGTTAAAAGAAAATACCAAACGCCCGACGGAGACTGAGGCAACTGATATATTATTAATTCTTTCAACTGTGATCTCGCGCTAATTCACTCTGTCAGAAATCTTGTATCATTCATCTCTGTCTGGAATAGTCTTGTTTCAATATTAGAGTTTTGACGTCACATCATCGCCTCGTTTTCAGAGGTCTGAAAAATCGGGGATTTCAATATTTTTTTTATGAAACGTAGGGAGCTCACAGCAAGAAACGGTTTGCGGTGGTGAGCTAATTTGGGTGAGTTCTATCGAATTATGAAATAAATTTTTTTGTGATATAAGCCCATCATTCATTGACAGTTAAATGAGTTCAACATAATCCAAAATTCTTTGATGAAGTGGACGGACTGATCTGATTCTTTTGTCTAAAATATTATAACTGAATCAATGCCAGGTAGCCGTGCGGACAGAGTATCAATATTCTAATCCGCATTTGCTTGCCGGTCGTGGGTTCGATTCCCATCGACTGCAGACATTTTTCTGATGGCCCAAGAAAGTGTTTGGGATCACACGTTGAAAGGTAAGGCCCCCGTCATTCCTTGCTCGCACAAAGACTCTCGAAGACTTCTGAGGGTTGCTCGTAAGGGGGCAACCGAATGACGGATAGAACAATTTTAGAACAATGCTACAAAAATTCCAAGAGAAATTCAGTGTCATACGTTCAGTTTCACTTTGATCAGTCCAGTTATAGGGTTCAGAACGAAAGAATATCCCTACATGGGTATGTTTTCATTGATTTAAGATACGCTTTCCTGACCTATGTTGCTCCCGTGTGTCATATTCGAGTCCAGGCTGTTGCAGTCCGAATCGTTGGAATGTGGACTGGAATAGTTGGCAGCCTCCTGCAACCTGATTGAAAAATTGATAACTAACTAATTATTTGAAGCCTATATGCAGGGATTAATATTAGTTATTTATTATACAAGGAAACACTTGAACTTGAGAGTTTAAAAGCAAATACGATGATATTAAGCACCTGAAATTTCTCTATACAGATAATGCTCAACCAGATCTGGAAAAGTATTGGTCTAAATTCATTCTTTCGAAACTGTCTGTTAGATATATATAGTTATTTATTATACAAGGGAAAAAAGTAGTACATTTTAGCTCCAGGTTGTGTTGTCTCACGACGCGTAGCGGAGGGAAACAAAAAACCGTGAGCTAAAATCTAATATTTTTCTCGAGTATAATACACTATTTTTTTCTGTGACAGAAGAAAGAACGAATCAATATTGAGAAGATATCACATTATTTTGAAATCTGAAAATTATTGACGTGAAATTTCAAGTTTTTAACAGTAGGGACACCTGCGTTGTAGGTAAGATGGCTACAAGTAGCTTGTAGCCATCTTAGTTGTAGGCATCTTTATCATTCTTTTGAAGTAATCAAATATGTGATGTCACTTCTGTCAGTTTAATTCTGTAATTTGATTGGAAAAAATTGCAAATTTAGTGGTTGCTTAGTAATTTATGTAACAGCGAAGTCGAATGGAAGTTAAAAGGACTTGCAGTTCTTTCTCGGAGACGGTATTATTGACTCATTTTTCGGAACTATAGCACAACAAAAGTCATCAACAGTGTTGTATATATGTGATATATATCCGGAAAAAAAGTACTCACTTTTTTCCGACGGGAAAAAAGTAATTTATGAAAAGTGACATTTTATAACCTGCCAACAGAGAATGCCAAAGTTTTTTCCCGTCATAGAAAAAAATAATTATTGATGGCTGAAAATATTGGATATGGTTCCTTAGCTCATTTTAAGAATAAAAGTTCATATGGACATAATAATATGATGCCCTAAACCTCTTAACTTTTGAGCTATAGGGCGTTAAAATTTTCAAGAAAAAATCGTTTCCTTATCATTACTTCAATATACTGCTCTAGAATCCGTCCACGGCGCCCGTACAATTTTTTTTTCAAGGGGTCGAAATTGAAAAAAATTCAGAATGTCGAGATTTCATCGATAACAATCGTGGAAAATGAAAATTTTCGTGGGCGTAGCCAGATATTTTTTGAGGGGATGAAAAATGAAAAATTCGGGAATTGAAGATTTTTTGATACCATTTCATAGAAGAAAAATTGCGACCTCTGGGGCGTGCCTAATTTTTTTTAAAGGGGTCAAAAATGAAAAAAAAAAAAACATAATTTCAAGATTACGTCGATACCATCCCATAGAATAGCAAATTGCGAATTCATGGGCGTCCAAATTTTTTTTCTTGAGGGGTCAAAAATAGAAAAAAAATCTGAATTTCAAGATTACGTCGGTACCATCCCATAGAATAGCAAAATTGCGGATTCATGGGCGTCCCAAAATTTTTTCTCAAGGGGTCAAAAATAGAAAAACATCAAAATTTCGAATTGAAGATTTTTTTGATACCATTTCATAAAAGAAGGAAAATTGCGACTTCAGGGGCGTGCCTAATTTTTTTAAAGGGGTCAAAAATGAAAAAAAAAAACAGAATTTCAAGATTACGTCGATAACATCCCATAGAATAGCAAATTGCGAATTCATGGGCGTCCTAAATTTTTTTCTAAAGGAGTCAAAAATAGAAAAAAATCTGAATTTCAAGATTAGGTCGATACCATCCCATAGAATAACAAAATTGCAAATTCATGGGTGTCCCAAAATTTACTCTAAAGGGGTCAAAAATGAAAAAATTCAGAATTTCAAGATTACGTCGATACCATCTCATATAATAGGAAAATTATGATTTCAAGGGCGTGCCAAATTTTTTCAATAGGGGTCAAAAATGAGAAAAATATCAGAATTTCAAGATCAGGTCGATACCATCCCATAGAATAGCGAAATTGCTAATTCATGGGCGTCCCAAAATTTTTTCTAAAGGGGTACAAAATAGAAACAATCAGAATTCCAAGATTACGTCGATACCATCTCATATAATAGTAAAATTATTACTTCAGGGCGTGCCAAATTTTTTTCTAAAGGGGTCAAAAATGGAAAAAAAATCAGAATTCCAAGATCAGGTCGATATCATCCCATAGAATAGAAAAATTGCGAATTCATGGGCGTCCCTAATTTTTTTTCTAAAGGGGTCAAGAATAGAAAAAAATCAAAATTTCAAGATCACGTCGATACCATCTCATTTAATAGAAAAATTATGACTCCATGGGCGTAACAATTTTTTTTTCTGAAGGGGTCAGAAAAAAAAATAGAATATATATTCTCACCTCATGAGCATATTGAGTAAAGGATCTCCCTCACTCTCCCCCTGCCCCGCAGCGGGCCCCAGCGCCTCCAGCCCCACGTCCTTCGCCGTGATGGGCGTGAGACCCTGGGGGGGCGCGCCTGGCCACGGGTACGTCTCCAGCACGAATTGCGTCGGATCCGTCCAAGGCGCCCGTCTGCCGTACAGCTGCAGGCCCTCTCGCGCCGCTTCTCGCAGGTAGGGGGCTAGGGAGTAGTTCCACACGTCGGCGAACCAGGCGCGGGCAGCGTCCAGTTCAAGGGGGCAGCCTGGAGGTAGAAGGAAAATTGTTGATGGATATTCGATGAAATTGAGAGGGATAACCCTATTTCTCGATATTACAGAGATATACAGTGTGACCCACTTCTAATGGAAACACCCCTGTATCTTACGTAATCGTTGGGTAAGGATCCTGAAATTTGCTGGAGCGAGAGATATACCAAAAATGCACTCTATGACCAAGTGGGGCCATCTTCAGTGATATACACTGGTCGCAACAGCCATGAAACCACCCCAATTTCCGGAAAATGATATTAGGAGTCAAAATGGGTCGAGAATCACTTCAGAATCGGAATCAGGACGCCCATTTCACTAACTATTCATAGTTTTCCTAGAAAATTTTCGGTACAGAAAAATTAGATTTTGTCTCACTTCTCATGGAAGAACCCCCGTTATCTCACGTAATTATTGAGGTAGGGTTCTGAAATTTGCCGGAGGAAGAGAAAGTCCAACGATAAAGTCAATTACGTGAGATACGGGGGTGCTTCCATAAAAAATGCGACAAAATTTTATTTTTCAGAACTGAAAATTTTCCAGGAAAAAATTGAATAGCTAGTAAATTGGGCGTCCTGATTCCGAATCTGAAGTGATTTTCGACCTATTTTGACTCCTAATATCATTTTCCGGAAATTGGGGTAGTTTCATGGGTGTTGGCGAGCAGTGTATATCACTGAAGATGACCCCACTTGGTCATAGAGTGCATTTTTGGTATATCTCTCGCTCCAGCAAATTTCAGGATCCTAACTTAACAATTACGTAAGATACAGGGATTTTTCCATTAGAAGTGGGTCACACTGTAGGATGTTCAAAATCGAGATTTTTCAATTCTAGGATGTTTCACAGGGTGGTTCACCCTTTGTCTGTTCCAATTAAATATCAGTAGATAGAAAGCTGATTTGACTGAAAAATTAAGGATATTTTCAAAGGCAAACGCCATAAATATCCCACACTGATATCACTATTCATAATAATTCAGCTCACCCTTATCAACATAAAATTGCAGCATATAATAGTATGATACACAGGCTCGTGAATGTCCCTCTTTCAGAAGTAAATTTCAATAAAGAACTCAATATTATAAAACAGATGGCAGTCAACAACGGATACAACGTTAATATGATAGATCAGTATTCTTTCTAAAAAACTTCATAATAATGCTATTCAAGAAGAATATTCTACCATCAAGAATAATAATAAAAATTATAGAACTTTCGGATCATCAACTGAAAAATTTGCGTCATTTCTACATAAACAGGACTTGAGAGTAGCGTATAGAACAAACGACACGTTGGGAAAGTTTATCAAAAATAATAAAGACAAAACTTCCAAATTCGAAAAATCAGGGATATACAAACTCAACTGTGGATCTTGTCCTAAGGTATATATCGGTCAGACAGGTCGTACGTTTAATCAGCGCATTCATGAACATAAGATGAATTTTTTGAAAAAAAACAAATTCAACATACGCCAACCATATATTAGAAGAAAACCATAGTTTTGATGATAATTTCGAAATTCTACATGTAGAAAATGAAGGAATGATACTCAATCATTTTGAATCATTAGAAATCAACAAACTCAGAAATTTTTACCTTTTACTTAACGATCAATTAGACCTCAATAGTTCACCAATGTTGAATTTGTTTTCTTAGTAGGTAATAATATTCATTTGCTATCAACCCTTTCAAGTTAATCCGGTATACCGTAATTTGATCTAGATATCGTGCCTAATTTCCGAAAATGGAGGTTTATCGATCCTGTCCACAGGTAACTAATCCTTCAAGTTGGGAAAGTAGGATGTATGAAAGTTAAGCAAGCCAACGTTGGTTTAGTTCATTGTACCAGTATATCACCTGACGAAGCTACTGTATTACCAAAACATGTTGTGTGTTTAAGAATTTTGTGAAAATCTTATCGTTTGAGAAGTTTTTACATTTGCCATGGATTTCCATCAAGAAACGGCCGTCATTAAAAAATAAAAAATGAATATAAATATCTATACCACCATTTCTCTAGAAAAAAAGACTTCATAGCAAAACTACAATTTCGAACAGTTTATATCTGTAATCATTTCCGCTAGACCCCATACATTAACGAAATCAGCTCTTCAGGAAGTATTTAAGAATACAATGAAATACAAGGTGTTTCATTTGGAATATCAAAGGTGCTACTACTTTCTGGTATAAGCGGCAATGCTGCCTTGCAAAATATTTCTGATCGATAGACCAAGAGCAACCAAATTTTCAGAATGATCTCCTATGTCCCGCGTTCTCCGTAAACGTTTAAGGTACCATCGACCGTGACCCACCGTATATATGGAAGTCTAACGTGTTATTTATAAGATCATATCCTTCCTTATAATAGGTGTAATATTTACATTCATGGTGTCCAAACCTGATGAATTTAAATCTTTCATATTGTGGAAGAAAAATATAATAAGTTCATGCTTCCATCACTAGATCACTAGATCACACATCACTAGAGCTGAGCCAACGACGCATCAGTGTAGGAAAAGAAAGAAAAGGGCACACTAGAGTGTGTTTGGAAATCAAATTATTTCTTCATTTGATTTGCATACAGGTTTATGAATACATTTAGTTTGGGTCGCAGTTTCGGCACCAATAATAGATTCCTGATATCCACCTTTTATATTTGCATGAAAATACTAGTTTAAAATGTAACATATTATATTCTCCCATTTTATATTAACTTCGGGATACCACAAGTGATAAGAAATTATGATTTTGTTGATTGATTTTTCATAGGTATAGGTACATACTAGTAGTAGTAGAGAAAGGGAGGCGGTCGGCTAGCAAGTAGGCCCCAGTGAGTTTTTTTGCCGACCCCTGCTGCACACGTCATGTGTACATAATATCAACTATTCCTTCTCCTAGTTCTCCTTTTTGAACCTCGGTGGATTTCTAATGTAGGTCAGTATGTCCGTCCACCTTAGTAATTTGATCTTCCTGGCAGGTCTATAGTGCCGTAACTGCTAAGGAAAGTATCGAATGATTTTTGGCAACTCACAAACTCTCCCTCCCTTAGTGACCCTAGAAAGACCCCTTCAACCATTCATAGGGGGCACGAATCCACTAGAGTCCTCAGGACGCAGGAAACCGAAGCCGTGGCTTCATCAAGGAGTTGGAGGGTAGCAGATTGGTACATAACCCTCGTGGTATAAAGGAACCCCTTCATATATTTCGTTTGGTGATGGTGAGGTATTACATATCGTATTTTGAATTCTTGCCACTCACTTAGGAACAATCGAGGCCCGATCGCCACGTCTCCGCTGCTGTGCGTTTCCAGGAAGGCGTTGAGGTGCTGCCACACCCGGGGAAGCCAGCCCAAGATGGCGGCCAGCTCGGGCTGCGGCCCCTGCTCCAGCTCGAGGGCGGCCAATCGTCGCCGCAGCACTCTGCCCAACAGCCCGCGGGCAGGCTCCATGTGGGGCGCCACCAGCACCCACCTGGAAATCGATATTGAGAATATTTTTCATCGTTTTATGGATAATACAAATATTTCTTTTCACACTATTGATAATATCTCAAAAGATAAAGTTCCTTTGAATTATAAATCCGGTGTCTATAGCATTTCTTGTTCTGATTGCAATGCACAGTATGTTGGCCAAAGTGGTAGTAGGATTTCAACTAGAGTCTTGGAACATGTCAAAACCATAGAAAAATTCAAAACCTCCCCTCCGATTTTAGATGAGTATAACACTAAGAGTACTTTTGCTAACCACATACTAAATTCTGAACATAATTTTGCATGTACTTTATTGAATCTGTTAGAAATTTTTGAAATAAATTCTGCTTTGAACAATAATTCTGTCACATCCCTTAATGAACAGGTGAACTATGATTGTATTGAATTTTTCAATTCTTTAGATTTTACCAAAAACCAAATTTAGTTTTATGTTGTTTGGCACCTGCTTTGGTCTCTTTCTATTATCATTATTCATTTGCTAATATTTCAGATTTGCTACCTAACCATCTCGTTGGAATGTTCCTCCTTCCCCCCCCTCAATTCCTCTCATTGTCAAAATTAATAAACAAAAACCTTCTTTTAATTTAGCTCGGCTAGGTACACCGGGCGCATTACGTCGTCTCCTAGCTGCTAGACCATTCGAACGGCAGGCGCACCCTTGTGCACATAGCCGAGTTTCAGTGTTAGCTATCGCATTTAGCGATAGTGTGACACTATGTTGCTTTCGTGTTAGGGAGATAGCGGTTACTAATCATCAGGTTCCCCAAAGACATCAGTTGATGCATATATCAACCCGTGTTTTTTATTGATGTTCTAGTGAGCTCTTGTTTGGGTCATCGTCCGGGTAAGGTCACTCCCAGCGATGTGGTATTTATTTTGTAGAACCTATTAGCGGTTTTGATTATGAATTCTCTGATTCTTGGCAAATTACCACATCTCTCGTGGAGATCTGCCACTCGAGAGTATCTATCACCGTTGGTGATAATACGGAGTACCTTGTTCTGCGGCACCTGCAGCCTATTCATATGAGTAGGCGTGATTCTGCAGTACACAGGACACGCGTACGTCATCACAGGTCTAATGGGCTTATATCACGAAAAATTTTTATTTCATAATTCGATAAAACTCACCCAAACTAGCTCACCACCGCAAACCGTTTCTCGCTGTGAGCTCCCTACGTTTTATAAAAAATTATTATTGAAATCCCCGATTTTTCGGACCTTCGAAAACGAGGCGATGATGTGACGTCAAAACCCTAATACTGAAACAAGACTATTCCAGACAGAGATGAATGATACATGATTTCTGACAGAGTGAATTAGCGCGAGATCACATTTGAAAGAATTAATATATCAGTTGCCTCAGTCTCCGTCGGGCGTTTGGTATTTTCTTTTAACTATAGCGAGATGAGGTTTCTACGTCATAAGAGGGTCCGTTTTCAGATGGTACTATTATTTATGTCCAAAAACAAAACATTCCAGTTAATTTTTCGATCGAATTATGTCGTCAATCATTATTTATGTATAAAAGGATCATTATAAACATAGTTTGAGTTAAAAGTTCTTCTAAGGTGTACACGCCCATTATTTGCTTATATACCAGGACCATGTTCTCCACTGATAGTCCTGGATGGTAGAGGGTACATCCTCTTTATAGCTGCCTGGGTTTTTTGGAACGCAACAACCCTATCAGTTGCGCTACATAATCTGGTAATTATATTAGTCAGAATAACATGAGTGATTGAAGAAGTTTACTTTTAAAAGGAATTTGAATTCTAGTATTGCTGTGTCAGACCATCAACAAAAATGCAAACTTTTTAAATCACACATGAAACGTCCAGCCAAAATAAAATTGTCTCGCCTTTCGTACAAAATGTCTCACTAACGCGAATTATAAGTAAATAAATAAAGTAGGAACTTAGGTTATTGTCTCAGATTTGAATCCAAAGCAATCTTGACCAGACACGATGTCAAAATTTTATCGCCGATAAACGATGGTAGAGCAAGTCCGATAAAATTCAATAAACAAAAAATATCGCTAGAATACAGAAGAAACCGTGAAAATATTCGATTCTGATTGGTTCTCGAGATCAAGGGTGGAATAGTCACGTATATTCCTAAATAAGAGCAGAAAACAAGAAAATATTTCAAATAATGCGAGCGCTTCCCATTAGCCAACATAAGACAGAAAGAGATAAGTATCCGTAAGCACTGCGGGTTGCCTGAACAATATTTTTGCCTCACTAGTCGTTCACAGAGGATCCCTTCCATTATATTGAGTCAATCGTATCCGAACCCACCTGAAACCGTGCTGTAGCTGCAAACTGGTAGCGGAGCACGCGCTTTGCGCCATCGTGCCCAGCAGACAGGGCAGGTTGCGCGGCAACGAGCCCAGAGCTTCCGCCAGGGTGCCAGCTTTGTGCAGGTTGTCCAGGACGACGACGCAAGGCAGGACGCTGGGGTCGCCGGCGGCCGCCTGCTCGCTCAGGTGTTGCAGGTACTGGCGCAGCTCTTTCCCAGATTTATTATCCACACTGAAAGAAAGATACATGGTCAGGAGCGGACTGGACCTTTCAATCGGAACGGGCGAATTGAACCCTACCGGCCCACCTCCGGAGAAAATTTTGAAGCTATTATAGCTATTCATATAATGGTGAAAGTCGTTACCACCGAAACAACAAGGCCAGCAGACTCTGACGTAAACAGCTCGTGACGTCACCAAGAGAGGCCAATGTTTTATTTTATCGCTTGTCGACTAACGCGTCAGTTCGTGTTAATTCAACGGTGATTCACGTATGTTTTTGAAACGGTCCCGAATTCTTTTGTTCTTTATTCATCAAAGTAATTGGCGGAAAAATTACTGTTTTGTGAAATATTTTGTCTTGTGATCGGCGAAATAGTAACGCCTTTCAAGTGTTGTGTTCCCTTTTGTCGGGGGAATTATGTGGGTGGTTCAAAAGTTCATGCTTTTAGTTTACCGTTGGACGAGGAGCTATCGAAAATGTGGGTATAATATATGCAATTCACCGCGAGGATTTTACTCCATCTAAGTTCAGTAGTAAACAGAGCTTAATTTATAATGATGAATTAATAATAGAAGACAATTACTCTCTCATAAAAAGTATAAGTAGATGAAAAATAGAAAAGCTTTGATTGTGCAGTTAGTTTTGTATTCGTATATTATAGTCAACAAAATCATCTCTGAATTCGAGGAAATTTTCTCGAATGTTCATAATAAACGGGCATTTTTGATTCTCATTCTCAAATTTCTTTCTGAAAACGGTCATTTGCCTCGTGGCAATGAATGCAGAATTCATTCCAATGATCAAATTGCAACTATCATATTAACATGAACTACAAACACTCTACTTAAAAAGGTAAAATTGCATTTATCATGATATTTATCATGAAGATATCTGACTAAATAGTTCCAAATTTCACCTTCTTTTTCACCTGTCTTCTGGATGGCATTCAGAACAAATTTCCCTTTTTTTTTCATCATATTGGACAATTTATATATAATTCAACTATAAATATGGTTTTCTTGAGATTAATCCATATTTAGTGAAAAGAAGGAAGAATGTCATTCAAAATAATGGCGTGTGTAATGTCATTCGAAAGCAATCTATTGACATTTGACATCTCGTATTTTGATTGACTATTGATTAAATGGTCGTCATCTGGAATGCTTGTTCACTAAATATGAAAAACTCGTCATAAAAATCATATTTCTTGTTGAATTTTCTATATAAAAATGTGCCATCGAAGTACATCATGAGTATATAAAGTGTCCAATGACAAAATAAGAGCAAGTAGCTTCAAATGCCCCCAACACAAGGGGAGAAAAAAGGCGAAATTTCGAACTTTTTCTTGAAATATCTCAATAAATAGTGGTTTGTTCACATTTTCATTATAAAATTCGGTTTATCAGACAAAAATACGTGAGTACCGAAAAAATTTTTCAAAAAAACCATCGCATGATAAATGCAGTTTTACCCTTAAAAATTACGGTTTCAAGTGTAACGATCCACTTGGGTGAAAAATCCAACAACAGAAAATTGAAAACACTCACTGGTTATTTTTTCAGGTAATAGGAATTCTCCAAGATAAATATAGGTAATTGTAACAAACGGCATGTCAATCAAAATAAAATACATTTTCCACAATTTTCTTTCGATCAATCTCACGATAAGTTTATGTTCTGCGGGCCCTGTATTTAATTCGAATGGGTTGCTGTAGGTGGATATTTGTGTTTTATCCTGGTTTTTGCTTTAAAACTTCGTTTTTCCATAATAAAATCGAATGGGGTGCGAAGAAGGGCTCAGTTGACGACTGGCATCCTTTTTTAACCGGAAGCCCTTCAAAAAACAGCAAAATCGGCTCAATGATGATCTAAAACTAAAATCGAAATACGCGGTCGCCTTATAGCGCTATAAGCGCTTGCCGTTTCGAGCCGCTGGTTAGGCCTCACTAAGTGACGTCACCCACGGAGCATGCAGGCCTTGTTGTATCGGTGGTAACGTGAAAGTGCATAATATATCTTTTTTGTCTGAAGAACACAAATTCCAGAATGAAAATATGAACAAACCGCTATTTATCGAGATATTTTACAAAAGAGTTCGAAATTCTGCCTTCATTTGCCACCCATCTTGGATATTCATTTATTACAACTATTTGTCCTTCATTTTCCATCACTGGACACTTTATATACTCACGTTGTACTTCAATGACACATTTTATTTCCTAAAATCAACACGAAGTATGGTCTATTTGGAATTTTTTCATATGCAAATGAGGTTTCTCGTAGTTTTTTTTTTGACATTTGACCTTCTAGATTGAGATGACTAGTAGATTTGATTCAGATTTGATAATTGAATGGCCGTACTGGTGTGGTTGTTTACCTCACTAAGATATGAAAAAATACAAATAAACCATACTACCAACGTTAGTATATAAATTGTCCAATGATGGAAGAAGAACAAGTAGTTGTAAATGAATATCCAAGATGGACGGCAAAAGAAGGAGAAAGTTCAAACTTTTACGTAAAATATCTCGATAAATAGCGGTTCATTGTGAAATTCGTGTTTTTCAGACGAAAAGACGACGAGTACAAAAAATATTCGAAACTACCCAGAACTCTGCGAAAATTCTAAAAGTCTCATTATGAGAGCTAATGAGTGGTTCTCAAAATATAATCTCTCACTTAACAAAGAAAAAACTCATGTTATCCTTTTTCGAACCTCACAGCAAAGAATTACAACTCCAACTAGTACAAGACTTCTTGAAACTAACATCAATATAGGAAGTAATACAATATTCTTGGGTGTTTGTATAAATGAAAACTTGAAGTGATATACACACATCAACTATCTTGGAGCAAAACTAAACCAAATTGCATACATCATTCGTAGACTTTGTAAATACCTGAATGAAAAGTCCCTAAAAATTATCTATCATGCAAACTTTGAATCCACTGCAAAATTTGGCATAATATTTTGAGGATCGAGCAGCCAAACTAAGGAAATATTCTAGATCCAGAAGAGGGTTATAAGATCATTATACAATATAAAATATGCTGAAACGTGCAGAGGTACCTTAAGATCAAATAAGATAATGACCATATTTGCTCTATATATTTATGAATGTGTCATACATCTGTATAAAAATAAAATGAATTTCACACAAAGTAATAATAACAGATACCCCATTCGGAACAGTAATTTCACTTTTCCAACATATAGGTTGACTTTTGACAATTAGATTGTTCAATAGATTACCACATGAAATGAAAGTGATTGATAGTGTGAAAAAATTCAAGAATCATCTGAAGAACTGCCTTACTGAACTATATAGAACCGAATTCTATAGATGAATATTAAAATGTAATTATCTAATTCAAACTAATTTATTCAATTTCTATGTTTTGTGACACTGTTTCATTCTTTGTTATATAATGTTTTATATAAAACATGGAAACCATCCATCCTTCTCAAAGTGGTCCAGATTTTTCAAAGAAAAAACTTTGTGGTCGACCGACTTAGCGTTTATGTTTTTTCTTTTATATAAAATGTAAACCTTTTTTTGAAATAAAGTATATTAATAATAATATTAATAATAACGTTACATTACTCACTTGAATGTCGCCACCGCCTCCGCCGGATCCCGCCCCATCCTCAACGCGTGAAACTCCGCCAATCGCGCCGCCAGATGCGTCTTGCCCGTGCCCGGCGCCCCGCACAGCACCAATCGCCGGTGCTCGGCCAGCAGCGACACCAGCCGCTGCGCCACGCCCTTCGGCACCAGCGCCTCGAAGGCCAGAGCGGCGACAGGCTGAAGGACGACGTGCAGCGTGCAGACGCGCCCCACGGCGTAACCGACGGGCAGGAGGTCGGGCGGGCCCGAGTCTGGCGTCCGCTCGGCGTCGCCCAGCTTGTAGCTGGCTATGGCGTCGCTGCCTGCAAGAGATGGAGAAGAGAGTCAGTAGGGGAGAGCGAAGAGTGAAGAGGTCTGAAAAGAATCATCATCATGCTCGGAATGGACACATACATACCTCATTGTTCGAAAAGATCATCACCATCGAAACCCTGGTTCAACAAAAACTGTTCTAGAACTGTTGCCTTGAAACAAACAGCCTATCATCGCTGGCGCAAAAACCCTAACCTCGCGACTAGAGCAGAATACATTGATGCCAGGAATAACTGCAGCCAAACAAGTGGGGTACGTAGTTTTCAAAAGGTATCAGATTAGTATAGATGTAGTTTTCATGAGGTATTATTTTATTTAGAGGTCAGATAATTTATACGACGCTATAAAGGCAGATTATATTTTATCATTGCTCATGTAAGATGGAAGTAGAGGCCATGGCACCATATCATGAGCATATTTTTATATTGAAACTATCATTGGGCACCAATGATGTGTATACGACGCTATAAAAGTTCAAAGAACTGGAGATTTTTCGTACAAACTACGTACTTAGCCCGTACCTAGTTTATTAGCAAAAATAAAGACAGTAGAGTGAGCTAGGTACGTAGTTTATGGGAAAAAAATCAAGACAGTCGAGTGTGCTTTTTTTACTTCCTTTTGTTTTTTGTTTCGTTTTCTATTGGCAAGTGATTATCTAGGAACTTGTAAATTTTTTAGTTTTTTCATCGTATCTCCCGAACTATTGAATTCAGAGAAAAATGTTATGAGGATTTTTTGTAGATTCTTTCAAAAGGAATATTCTTGTTTCTATAACATTTTCAGATATTTTCAGTTGTTTTCGAGATATTTGGAATTATCTGAGAATTAAATTTTCAACACTTTTGTTCCATCTTCCAATCAACAAAATGAAAAAATATTTCATGGTTCAAAGGAGGTCGATGAACTTTATCTTTCGTTAATCTTTGTTTTTCAATATATCTTCATAGTACCCTATGGGTCGTTCAAATTTTTTTTTTCATATTTTTCACTTTATTTCCTGTACTATTCTGTTTACAGAAAAAATTATAGAGAATAATTTGTAGGAAATGTTCCAGTGGATAACTTTGCACTCTTGATAATTTTCGATTTTTCCATTTGTTTTCGATATATATTGAATTGAAAGGATTTCAAATTTTGATGTTTTGATTTTCATTTGTTTTTCCATTTTCCGATGGATGCACGAAAAAATTGTTGAATAATAATTTGTTGCGTCATCAAAGAGGCATACGGTGCATTTTTCAAATTTGGATTTAGTCTATTGTATCACGAGATATGTCGTTTTAAAGCGAACCGTGTTTTTCGGAAAATCTCCTTGAAAACCCCACTTGGAATTTTCCGATCCTGCTCAATTTCAATAGGCTTCGTCTCTTTCTGATAGAGTTATTTTTCACAAAAAATGAAATCGATCGGACCACTTTTGCGATTTGTAGAGTGGTTACAAGAAACTTCCGGTGAAAAATCGAAAAAACCCGGAAAAACCACCTTAGAGTTTTCCGATTTCCTTCATATTTTAATGACATAATATTGTTTTGAGTACAATAAGATGGCAAAATTTCAAGTCGATATGTCAAAGGGTTCCGGAGATGTATCGATTTATGATTAACACAGAGTACAGACAGACGGACAGACAGACCACACACAAAAACCAAAGTTGCTCAAAATTCGATAGGGATCATTTTCTCCAAAGTAACTATACCTCTATCTCGCTTAGTTTCCGAGATAGCATTTTTGGCAAGGCCGTAGTATACTCCACTATAGGTATAGCGTCGTATAACAAGTGAGGTACGTAGTTTTTGAAAGGTATCAGATTAGTATAAAGGTCAGATAATTTATACGACGTTATAAAAGCAGATGATATTTTATCATTGCTCATGTAAGATGGAAGTTGAGGCCATGGCACCATATCATGAGAATATTTTTATATTGAAACTATCATTGGGCACCAATGATGTGTATACGACGCTATGAAATTTCAGAGAACTGGAGATTTTTTGTACAAACTACGTACTTAGCCCGTACCTAGTTTATTGGCAAAAATAAAGACAGTAGAGTGAGCTAGGTACGTAGTTTATGGGAAAAAAATCAAGACAGTCGAGTGTGCTTTTTTTACTTTCTTTTGTTTTTTGTTTCGTTTTCTATTGGCAAGTGATTATCTAGGAACTTGTAAATTCTTTAGTTTTTTCATCGTATCTCCCGAACTATTGAATTCAGAGAAGAATGTTAAAAGGATTTTTTGTAGATTCTATCAAAATGAATAATTTTGGTTCCATAACATTTCAAGATATTTCCAGTTGTTTTCGAGATATTTGGAATCATCTGAGAATAAAATTTTCAACACTTTTGTTCCATCTTCCAATCAACAAAAGGAAAAAATATTTCATGGTTCCGTGGAAGTCGATGATCTTCATCTATCGATAATCTTTTGTTTTTCAATATATCTTCATGGTACCCTATGGGTCGTTCGAATTTTTTTTTTCATATTTTTTACTTTATTTCCTGTACTATTGGGTTTACAGAAAAAAATTTAGAAAATAATTTGCTGGAAATGTTCCAGTGGATAACTTTGCACTCTTGATAATTTTCGATTTTTCCATTTGTTTTCGATATATATTGAATTGAAAGGATTTCAAATTTTGATGTTTTGATTTTCATTTGTTTTTCCATTTTCCGATAAATGCACGAGAAAATGGTTAAATGATGATTTGTTGCGTCATCAAAGAGGCATACGGTGCATTTTTCAAATTTGGATTTAGTCTATTTGTTCAGGAGATATATCGTTTTAAAGCGAACCGTGTGTTTCGGAAAATCTCCTTGAAAAACCCACTTGGAATTTTCCGACCCTGCTCAATTTCAATAGGCTTCGTCTCTCCCTGATAGAGTTTTTTTTCACAAATAATGAAATCGATCGGACCACTTTTGCGATTTGTAGAGTGGTTACAAGAAACTTCCGGTGAAAAATCGAAAAAACCCGGAAAAACCACCTTAGAATTTCCCGATTTCCTTCATATTTTAATAACATAATATTGTTTTGAGTACAATAAGATGGCAAAATTTCAAGTCGATATGTCAAAGGGTTCCGGAGATATATCGATTTATGATTAACACAGAGTACAGACAGACAGACCACACACAAAAACCAAAGACGCTCAAAATTCGATGGGGATCATTTTCTCCAAAGTAACTATACCTCTATCTCGCTTAGTTTCCGATATAGCATTTTTGGCAAGGCCGTAGTATACTCCACTATGTATAGCGTCGTATAACAATAGATGCTTTGGAAGGAACATACAATGCCAAGATAAGATCGAAACTCATAGATTGTCCCAATGGCTCCCGTTCGTTTTGGTCCCTTGCTAAAGCGCTCGAAAGAAATTTCACTTATAGTTCATTTCCACCACTGTCCAAATCCGACGGCACATTAGCAACAACATCGCAGGAGGGAGCAAATATTTTTGCAGAGATCTTCGCAGCAAACTCTACTTCAGATGCCCAAGGAAAAGGGCCGCCAGACATTCCACCCGTTGAGAGTCGAATTCCAGAAATCGTCTTCCGTCAACGCACTATCAGACGAATTTTGCTTGGTCTCAAAACGGATAAGGCTAACGGTCCTGATGGAATTCCACCCATTATCCTCAAAAAATGTGCACCAGAATTAACACCGATTCTCTGCAAGTTGTTTACCGTCTCGTACAGGTCGGGTATTTTTCCATCATGCTGGAAGACAGCTAGAGTCCAACCAATCCCCAAAAAAGGGAACAAGAACCTGCCCAACAACTACAGACCCATTGCCTTGTTATCAGTAATCTCCAAAGTGGTGGAGAAAGCCATCAATATTGAGCTTTTTAAATATCTGGAGAGCTCAGGAATCATCAATGATAGACAATACGGCTTTCGCCACCGAAGATCTACTGGAGATCTACTTGCCTACGTCACCCATTTATGGCAAGCTGCATTAGAAAAACATGGGGAATCTCTAGCTGTCGCGTTGGACATATTGAAAGGATTCGACCGTGTTTGGCACGAAGGACTCCTCCACAAACTACCATCATACGGCTTACCACCTCAGCTATGCCATCTCTTATCGAGTTTTCTTTCAGGCAGATCGCTTCACGTGGTGTTGGACGGTGTATTGTCTGATACCATTAGCATCAATTCCTGCATTCCACAAGGATCAATTTTGGCACCAACATTATTCCATCTTCATATCAATGATCTGTTGGGAGTAACAACTTGCCCAGTCCACAGCTTTGCAGATGATATAGTACCCTCCATACTGCGTTCTCTTCTAGAATTCCTATTTCTTCCCAAGAAACTAAGAACTCACGGCGCAGGCAGATCAATGCTGTCAATGAATACCTTGCTGAAATCACAGCATGGGGAACCAACAACCTAGTTGAATTCAACGCCACCAAAACTCAAGCCTGTATTTTCTCTAGAAAGGCGGAACTCAGTATGCTCGATATTGTAATGTCTGGCTCCACCATCCCCACCAAGCCCACCATATCTATGCTCGGTATTTCCATCAGCAACACTCTTTCATGGGATAATCATGTCAGATCCATCACAAAAGCTGTGAAGTGACGAGTCTAGTAGAGAAGTATGAAGAGTCCAGTAAATAGTCAAGTGGGGAGTAAAATTCAAAGTCCAACGGAATACCCGACACAAGTAAAGAGTCAAATAGAGACTAAATAAATTGAAAGTCCAGTGAAGAATCCAGTAAATAAGCAAGAGAAGAGTATCATTAAAGAGTTCAGTGAAGAGTCTAGTACAGAATCGAGAAAATATAGTGGAGACTGGAGAATCAAGCAGAGTCAACAGAAGTGTAAAACTAAAAATCCTGCAAAGAGACTAGTACAGGGTCAAGACAATCCAGTAAAGAGTGAAGTGGAGAGTGGCTGTCAAAGTCGAAAGAAGAGTCGAGTAAAAAGTCAAGAGGGTTCAGTGATAAGTCAAATAAAGAGTCGTCAAGTGGAAAGCGGAAAATTATCTACTCACCTAATCCAAGACCCCCGCCAGGATCTAATCTCGCCACATATTGCTTAAAGGCTCTCCTAACTGCATTGTCCAGTTGGGCCCAAGAGCTAGATGCACCTATGGTCGTATGAGCTATGGGTATTTCAGTGTTGGCGTTCTCACTCAAACCGTCATATCCATAGTGTTCGACATAATACCTGAAACAAAACCCAAATGAGTGTATTTATTAATAGAAGATTTGAATCGAATGTTCAAAAGTCGAGGGGGAGACAGTTCGATTAACACCCACTCACTTTTCGAAACTTTGGGGTTGCCCCAAGTACACCGAAATGGCTATCCGTTTGCCGTCGGTCTCCCCTTCGGGCGTGGGGTCCTCGGTTTGTATGAGGTCGGTGAGGGCGTCCATGCTGCTGACGCTCCTGGTGTCGGTGAGGTCGGCAGGCAAGTTGGTGGTTCCACTCACCATGCGCTGCAGTCGTTCGTTATTCTGTTTCAGACTCAACATCTCACTCTGAAACAATTCAATTTTTTTTACTTAGAAAATAAAGTGTACACATTACAGATTTCAGTGTTCCTTTTGGGTCATACAAGTTCACCTAAGCATGCTGTATGCTTGTGTTGTACTAGTCTTCAATCCACACGGAGCATTGTCGTTGAATGTAATTTATGGTTTCCTTTGGATGGATGCAGGCGAGTTGAGAGATTTCATGATTGGTCAAATACAATTTGGCGCTTGGTTTCTCTTCCCTCATGTCACGTGATACACTAACTATACAAAAGTAATGTTTGGTACAATTTTGTGGAAGTTCGTTTTTGAGTATTGTTCTGTTCAGTTTTGTCACGTGATAGGCGGAACGCTGGTAAGGTAATCTGTTATTTGAAATCTTGACCCGTTTGACCCTGAAACAAATTTTTTTTCCGATTTTGTATACATATATTTAAAAAAAAAGGTTAATAGAAGGTCCGATAATTCTAGAAAAAATCCTGGATACATTTCTCGATTTCTAGTTTTGGAGAAAATAGCGGATTTTTGAAAGGACAGTAGGATGAAGGGTTGCTATTAGAAAAATAAATGAAGATTTGAAAATGTTTATATTATATCTTACAAAATGCTTAGCAAAACTTCAGGTCTTCTAGAAGTGTTAATATTTCTCCGGAATTGTTGTATTTTTGCTGTACATGAATATTGCTAAAATTGACAATTTCTCCTCGAAAATATTTCCAAGGAAACGATTGCTATGAGCAGTTTGAACTGGTTTCCATCGCATAAACGTAGAATCAAAATCTTCATTGAGAGTATAGTCAAACTTCTTACATAACCACAAATATGAAAAAAGTAAGTATATTATGTTATTTGTTAAAATAATCAAAACAACGGAAGAATAAACGATTTTCAACATTTCTTACCTTGAGTCACTCATTGCAAAATCAGTAGAAACACAGCATTAAACAAAAATCCTATTGATCGCAATTGGCCTTGTTCAAGATGTCAACTTAATATAATGTTAGACTGGCCACATCTTCAAACCGTCAGCTGAATCAGAAAAATACAGGTTTCGGTTTGAAGTCCTTTTAAAAGGACGGTAGGCGCAAATGGGTTAATTATGAGTTAAAGAGTTATCAACTACTCGAATTAATAACTCAATTATTATGGTTCTTCACGGTCAATATTCAATTATTACTATTTCTCAACTAGTCTTTGGATGCAGTAAATATCAAGTCAGTTTATGTCATTTAGTTAGGTCCAGATCCTATTTTCATTCACTTTCATTAATTTATTATCCATCTGATGATAAACATAGTTAATTCAGTTAGGTAACCGAATAGTTTGATTTATGAACCTCCTTCTTCAGGTTTATTTGAGATTGAGAGTAAACTTAACGCAATTCATGGTTTCAAATAACTAGAGAGTGTCTCAAAGTAGAGTAATAGACTTTGATGAAAGCGAATGCAAGCTCAGATAAGCGATGCATATATATGTGGATGTGTCACAAGCTGCTAGCTGGGACTTCAGATATAAAAGGTAAGTTGATTATGATATATTGTGAATGATTATGTGGCATTTCAATACGACTTATTCAAGAACCTACTTGGCGACCTGTCTCGCTCGGCAAGAAATACTTTTCGTTGGAAATTAGAATTAAATTAAATGAGGTGGTTTCAAGTCAGGTTAATGAATTAGTGATCAAGATAGGTTAATTGCTTCTCCGAGACCACCTCGTTTACAACAGAACTTACCCTCATTTTCATGACGGTATCCTTCAAGCTCTCCAACTGGTGGGCGGAGCTCAAAGCTTCCAATCGGATGTCCGTAAGGACGAGGTCCTTCTCTCTCAGTTGTTTCTGCAACTCCACCACCTCCTGGCCGGCGTCGGTGGCAGGTTGTGGGGGCGGACTGTGCGTCCTTTCAGAATCTCCTGAAATTTTTTTTGAATAAACAATATTTAGAAAATCTTTGGTAGAAGTTGCTCAAAGTGGAAGGAAGGAAGGAATGTATGGTCGAAGTCATCTCCACAAATTGTAATGGTGTTTTTACATAATCATAAGGGACATGTTTCGGTCTTATAAAACACCATCTTCAGCCTGTTCATTGTACCAGTATATCACCTGACGGAGCAATCTCGCCTATACTAACTAGCTTTTGATTAAAAACGACAATGGTTGGACGACACGTCAGGTAATGGAACTTAGATATGTCTTGTTACCTCACGCACGACATTTCAAAACTTCCATCAATTTCGAAAAGTGTTAGGTTATGAGCAAAAATTGAATGGGTTGCGTGAAAAAACTGTCAGATGACCGACTCTGGCGGTGAAACATTGAAACACAACCTCTCTTTTCTCATTCGTTTACAAATTATTGAAATAGTTTTTCACAATTACTTTGACATACGAATCGTGTTTTTCGGATATTCATTAATTCGCGCATGCCATCACATTGTGCAAAAATGCAGCGAGAGACGAAGGAATCCGGTTGGTACATTATGATTTAAAAGTAAGTACCTACTATAGTCACTCACATATAGTTTTCCTTTTGAAATTTGGTAACTTCTCTGATTCGTCATCGGAATTCCTTCTGCAATAGGAGCTAATAGAAATATTGGTGAGATTTCTAAAAGAATGCAAGAAGATTGGATTCATGCAATCAAACGGGAGGACTGGTCTGACATGCTGACGAAATATGATCGTGTGTGTTGTTAACATTTTCAATCTATTATAGCAGTATTATAGTTTCTATTGCAGAAGTGGCAGAAGGAATTTTAATAATAATAAGAAGAAATGACAAAATTTCATAATGAAAACTATGTGAGATTACAATCTACCTGAAATATCATATTCCTTCGTCTCACGCTGCATTTTTTGTGTATTGTACAACAGCACAATGAGAAGGCATGGTGGAATCAATGAATAGAGCAAAAAACACGATTTGCATGCCAAATTTTTGTGAAAAACTATTTCAATCCTTTGATTCCTCTGTAAACAAATAAAAAAGTGAAGTTGTGTTTCAATGTTTTCCAGAAAAGTGAGGTTGTGTTTCAATATTTCACCTCCAGGGTCGGTCATCGTGCACGCGACCTATAAAAAACATCAATCACACCACGGAATCCTCACCGTTCTCGATCTGGCCCTGCACCTTGGCCACCTTGGCGCTGCGCGAGAACGCCTTGGTGAAGGAGCTGCGCAGCCAGCCCTTCTTCTTCTTCTTCTCGTGCTTGTCGAGGCTGCAGGCGGACGACAGGCTCGACACGCTGTCGCTGGAGGGCTGGCGCGCCAGGCCGCCAGTACCGATGCCAGCTTGCAGGGACTGCGTCCGCAGCGACTCCATCGCTTGCCGGAGCTCCTGCAGCTCCGATTCCTGCGAAGAAGAAAAGATATACAGGGTGTGATTCAATTGATGGCTAAAAATATATGAATAGGTACTTGTCAAAATAAAACCACAATGTAATCGATCAAATGTCATTATTTTAATACATTTTACCGCTCAACTGATGATTTTTCGGTAATAATATCCCCAGTTAACTATTTTGCGTTTTTGAAACGTTTGAAAGTAACTCTGAGAAATATATATGGAACATATTTCACCTATATACTCTGAAACATTTATGAGACATTCTCGAGACCATACCCATCCAACACATCGGTGACGTGACATCTCTGAGATGTCGTGTTTCAGTGCGATATCACAACCGTTCCATCGCTGCGATGTTTATAAGCAGAGACATCTGCAACATGGCATATCTGGGATGTCGCGATGAGGCAACACTGCGATATTACGATTGTTCCTACGCTGCAATGTACAGAATCAAACACATCTGCGACATTCACATCTCTGAGATGTCGCGATGAGGAACACTGCGATATTACGAATGTTCCATCTCTGCGATGTACAGAAGCAGAACCTTGCGACGTGACATCTCTAAGATGTCATGATGAGGCAACACTACGATATCACGAAATTTTCATCGCTGCGATGTACACATGTAGACTTCGTATTTCAGATATTCAAAATTTCGATATTTGAATTATTGTTGGGTGAAAAGGAATACATTATACGTCACTCAACAAAGTGAAACTAAATTCGCAAAAAAATCGTCAAACTATTTTTGGCTTGCTTGGGGATCCCGCGAAACATTCTTCCCGTGTATCGACATGGAGAAGCTATTACATTATATTAAAATCAGGAAATCATGGACGTGAAATTCGAGGTTTTTACCAGGAATGACACCTGACAATGTTTATTTTCGAAAAAACCAAAGGCCTACAATGTTTCTTTTAGAAACATCTCCATAAGGACACCACTGGTACAAATATTAGGAAATCACCTGCAGCAAAAAATGCCTATTGCTGCTCAGTAGGTGCATGTCGAATTTCATGAAAATATATAGAACGTCGCAGTATTGAAGTTATGATAAGGAAACGAATTTTTTCTTGAAATTTCAACACCCTGTAGCTCAAAAGTTAAGAGTTTTAGTGGATATGTTCATATGAAATTTTCTTCTTGAAATGAGCTAAGAAACCATGTCCTATATTTTAGCCATTAATCAAATTACACCCTGTATAATTGTTAACCGCAACATTCAAGGGAAATTGAAACATTTGAAGTATTCAGAGAAAAAGGTAAAAGAGTTGATATACATTAATCCGTTCTACAGCATTGAGTATACTTTGTATACTTTGATTTGATATACAGGTTCCCGCTGATTTCATATATATTATAGTATAGTATACAGGGTGCGTCATTGAAATGGGAAAGTGAGATAACGGATTCGCTGTTGTTAAAAATTTTTGTGATGGTCTAGGCTCATGAGCAGCATATTTCTAAATTACTTTGCGTATACAGGGTGACTCTAATATGCGTGGCGTATCAAAGTTATACTTTTTATTATAGTACACCCTGTCTTTCATTACATTTTCGGGTTCTCCTTTGTGTGCTGATTCCATCAATACATCACACTCGGGATCTAGCGGGAATGATTACAGGATATATGGTGTTCAAAATCGAGATTTTTCAACTTCAGGATTTTTTTGTGTCGAAACTACTGATTATTGGTCATAACGGCTCAAATGTCACCATCTCAACTTTTGATTCACTATCTACTGACATTTAATTGGAACGAATACAGGATACTTCAAAATTCAGAATTATGAACCCTGTATTCGTTCAAATTAAATATCAGTAGATAGTAAATCAAAAGTTACCATAGGGACATGTATGCCGTTTTGACTAATAATGAATAGTTTCGACCCAAAAAAATCCTAAAGATGAAAAATCTCGATTTTGAACACAAAGGAGAATATGAACATGCAATGAAATATAGGGTGTCCCATAAGAAAAAGTATAACTTTGATACGTCACGCATTTCACTCATGAGCCTAGACCATCACGAAATTTTTTATTCATCTATCTCAAACAGCGAAGCCGTTATCTCACTTTCTCATTTCAATGACTCACCCCTGTATGTATAGGGATAGTGACATTTGTTATTTCGAAATTACAGTCGAAATAAAAACCGGTGGCATTTCTTCCTAACAGTAGTCAAATAAATTTGAAAAATCGCCATATTTCAGAAATTTAATGAAAACTTGTCGATATAAAAATCAACTCACTTTTTTTTCTGAGGTAGCTGTAAGGTGCTGCAATCTTTGAGTCATGGAAGTCAGGCTCTGCTCAAACGCCGATACCACATGAGCCTGAAACAAAAACAAAAAAAACATGAAGAAATATAAAGAAATATCACATTTTTCCGAAAACCTGCTAAGAACCTTCTACATGTACGCCAATGGGGATTAATCAATTAGTGGACACATCATTTTATAGTAACGTTTTATGAGTGAAAAAGTACAACTCGCAATAATGCAACCATTTAGATGATTGAATTCGTGGAGAGAACAATTGACGTCCTCATTGTTGTAAATACGTGTTGTGCCATGGCAATATGTCTCACTTAATAATCATCTAGATTCAAGACGAATGCAACTTATTTTGATGGGTCGATTATAAAGTATTAAGCAGAGGTCAACGAGCCACTTATTTTCGAATATAACAGACGTTTGATACTGATTTTTTCAAAGAATTGCTTCATCAGATTTGAAATACATAGCTGACAAAAATCAATGGTATCAACAAAATTGTTGATATCAAAGACGGTGTGTGCCCCAGAGATCGATTTTAGGGCAACTATAAATTTCAACATATACACTTATCACAGGATTCTTTTTTCATCTTCCGGGAAATGACATCAACTTTCGATTTTCAAATGGAACACCGTGTATTCCATTCCATAATCGGTTAGGGAACATTATGACGAATTTCACGATACCGGGTTTGATTTGGTTATATTTCAAACGATTACGAAGATATTCACGTACGAAGTTTCCATAAGCCCAATGGGTGTGACGGCGCAATATCGAATCTTCTTTCTCTGTTACACTCATTGAGCTTATGCAAACTTTGAACACGAATATCTTCGTAATCCTTTGAAATAGCCTAATCAAACCCGGTATTGCTGAATTCGTTATAATAATCTCTTACCGATTATGGAATAAAATACAGAGTGTTCCATTTGAAAATCGAAAGTTGATTTCCTTACCAGAAAAAGCGGGAGATGAAAAAAACTCTGTTAATTCTACAGAAACGAGCGATAAGGTATTTGTGTAATGTCAAACCTCGAAATTCTTGCAGAATTTTATTTTCCAATAATAAAATATTGACAGTGATTGCACTTTTCATTCTGGAATCTGTTGATAAATGATAAATAAGCACAAGTTAAAATTCACTACAACTCCCATCCATCATAACACGCGTAACAGAAATTTCAGTTTGAAACTTCTTCTACCCACAAGAGAGTTTATTAAAGATTCCATAAACTATAATGGTCCAAGTCTGAATGACTGTCAATTCAGGAAGAAAGTCAAAAAGTTCCTCTCTGATAGACCCTATTACAGTTTGCAGGAATATTATAGTGATACGTTTGAGTTGTGATATTTTAGTATTTTAATGTGGTATTTATTTTGACTATATTTTGTCACGTATTTTCATGTCGTTATATTTCAACCTCTTTTTACAATATTATCTGACCTAGCTTTGTCAGCAAGATTCTTCTTCAGACAATAAAGCATATATTATTATTATTATTATTATTATTATTATTGAAGTAAAACAAAAGGAATATCGTGTTATATCCGTAGAAAATAGTATATTGTTTGACAAGTACGGAATGAGCATAAGCCGTAGGCGAATGCTGCAATCATTCGAGTGGGAAATTAGCATTCCTTGCGAGTTATACACTATAATTTTTCTACGGCTGTAACAGATAACAGCGGCATTTTTTATATCTTCGTCTTGTATCTGATTTCCTGTCAAGTAAGCTCATCTATTAGACAGACATTGCTTGATCCCAGACAGCACCAGATATCTCATGAATCTCCCTATCATATTCCTCTTGGAATATTGGAATATTCTAGAAATAATCTGGAATATTCCGGAAAATCTGTGGAATATTCTCTAAATATGCGAATGGGAATTCCTCAGATAATCATAGAATATACCCAAAAGAATATTTTATGTTGAATGTTCCTGGAATATTCCAATAAACATATTCTAAAATTAAAAAAAGTGACCCAAGTAGGAATCGAACTCGTGACCTCAAGACTATCAGAGCAACGCCTCGACCACTAGGCCAGTAATCGAATTGAATAATGTTATACATATCAAGTTCTTGTGAGAGCATTGTTCGAAATCGGATCATAAACACTTTTTGTTTCAAAATCCCCTTACATCTAATTGATGTTCGATACTCATATCTCTGAAATAATAAATGGTATTTATGTGTTGAGAAACAAAGGAATATTCATGGAATATTTCATGAATATTCACCACCGAATATTCAGTTGAGAATATTTCATGAATATACCGCACAGAATATTCAGTTGGGTATATTTCATGAATATACCGCACAGAATATTCAGTTGGGTATATTTCATGAATATACAACAGAGAATATTCAGTTGGGAATATTCCTGGAAGATTCATACCTGAATATTCCCTGAACATGTCCGACTATTCACTTTGGAATATTCCTTTCAGATGTTCCAGAGGCATGTATATGTTCTAGGAATAATCGATGAATATTCGGAATATACTCCTCCTTTTTAGCATATTTAGAGAATATTCTATGAATATCCAGTGCTGTCTGGGATATTCGACATTCCATGAGCGATGAGATTTTTTTGAAATAATAACACGATGGAGTCATTGTGATATCAGATACGGAAATGTAATTGATGACATACAAAGTCCCTCATTGATGTATCGAACACAGTAAAACAAGAGCAATCTTGTGTTATAGCCGTAGGAGAAGAAAATATTGATTCAAATAATTTAAAGACAAAGGACAAAGGTGTATATGGTCTCCCTTTACGAACCCAACTACCGATGATTAATGAAATAATCAGGTGATTGCCCAGTCAACCCCCAAGGGTGGGTGTGCATCATAAGCTTTGTATTCAAATGTACTAATAGTAGGGAGCCAAGTTAGGTGTGTCTATGTCTATCTAGTTTATGCAATTATTATCAGGGGCGCCACCACCTATTACAATATACCATTGTGGGGAATGTCTTCCTTAGTGAGATATGTTCTACAATGGAGCAGAGCTTTTTTAATTTCCTGCCAACATGTTTCTACCCCTAGTTCAGTTTATTCAATGATGGAAATAAGTAGATGGTATATTCTCACTATTTTTGTTTCAGAAATTCTTCTCGACCTCTCGAGAACAATGGTTTCGGCGTTCTTCTAATAGATGGCGACATTGCACAATTATGACAAATGTCAATTGAAATATACCCAAACCAACATTGTTTTATTAATGAATGTATATTGGATAGATATTGGTATTGATACGTAGATGATGTTATAGTATGCTTTGGACGAACCAATAGACAATTAGACACGTTCCACCAATATATAATAGTATATTATGTAACAAGTGTTATAAACGTCCTTTTATAACGAGTATTTTGAGCACGAGCGGAGCAGATCGGAGCGAGTGTTTAATAAACGAGTGTCTAGAAGAGTTTATAAACGCGTTACATACTATGCTTTTTCTACGAACTCCGAAAATTACATTCAAATATCTGCTATTCCTGCTAACCTACAAAATGATTCGAATGGAATGGGAATTGACAACATAATACATGCAACTGCATGCAACCAGCGAGACACGTATAAGTGATATTGGTTGTAAATGTGTCCAGTCCATTGCTTACTAACTTTTGTTTCACGTCTATTATCATGCTTAGCGTAGAATAAATAAATTGTTCTCAAAGATAGATGCTTGATTTTTACACTTCTTGGAGATATGCAAGTACTAGAACATTCTCTTCGATTTCACTCTCGTATACTTGTCGCATATATTTTTAATGAAGAATTCTGATACGATACGAATATTGTTTGAATAACTCTGATACAAAATTCGAAAATAACAGTTGACAGTTAATACAATTGACCGGCCAGACATGTCTCAAATTACTGAAGCTGTGTTAAATGAACTGCGTTGCCATGGTAATGTGTTTAAGAAATTGTGTTGCCATGGTAACGTGTTTAATATTTTGAATAAATCACAGATCGACAATCCGTGATTAATCGATCATTTAGCGTGGTACATATCCGTACGCTGAATGCCATTTTAGTTATGTGAGTAGAAAAATACTATTCATTGAAACATAAAATTATTCATAGAAACAGAAAATTCAATCAATTTCTTAGATTTGACAATAAGGAAAATTAATGATAAACATGATTTCTCAATTTTTCATAAACCTTCTCACACTGATATCACTATTCATAATAAATCAACACACCCTTATCAACATAAAATTGTAGCATATAATAGTATGATACACAGGCTAGTGAATGTCCCTCTTTCGGAAGTAAATTTCAATAAAGAACTCAATATTATAAAAAAGATTGCAGTCAACAACGGATACAACGTTAATTTGATAGACAGTATTCTTTCTAAAAAACTCCATATTACAGCTATTCAAGAAGTTTATCCTACCATCAAGAATAATAGTCAAAATTATAGAACTTTAACCTATTTTGTATCATCAACTGAAAAATTAGCTTCATTTCTACATAAACAGAGGACTTAAAAGTAGCATATCATAGAACAAATAACATGTTTACCAAGAATAATAAAGACAAAACTTTTAAATTCGAAGAATCAGAGGTATACAAACTCAACTATGGATCTTGTCCTAAGGTATATATCGGTCAGACAGGTCGTACCTTCAATCAGCGCATTCATGAACATAAGACGAATTTTTTGAAAAAGATAATTCAACATACGCCAACCATATATTGGAAGAAAACCATAGTTTTGATGATAATTTCGAAATTCTACATGTAGAAAATAAAGGAATGAAACTCAATCATTTAACGATCAAGACCTCAAGTTCACCACTTGTTGAATTTGTTTTCTTAGTGAGTCATAATATGTATTTGATATCAACTCTTTCAAGTTAATCCGGTATACCGTAATTTAATGTAGATATTGTGACTAATTTCCGAAAATGGAGGTTTATCGTACCTGTCCACAGGTAACTAATCCTTCAGGTTGGGAAAGTGAGATATATAAAAGTTAAGCAAGCCAACGTTAGTTTAGTTCATTGTACCAGTATATCACCTGACGAA